CACACAGTCTTGCTTTAAAAAAACTTGAAACTTCAGCAGTAGCATTTGATTTGAAGCAATGATAATAAACTACGCTTGTGTGTATGGATATAAACAGTTGATAAATATGTGTTAAGTAGTCCTTCATTTACCTTCATTACAATAGAAGTGTAGCATTATTTAATCCTATACTTGCGCCAAGACGGGATCGGAAGCCTCGAACTTTGCGCCGCAGAATTTTCAGACTACTTTCTTTCTGTGAGAGACCGATAAATTAGAATTCGAAAAATATCATGAGTTCGGGGAATCTTTCGCAGTTATGAAATTTGTGAGCACTTTACTGCGCCTTTGTCAGCGAGGATTCATGCAAAAGGCTAGGAGCATAGAATTATCGGAATTTTTTTCGATCAATATTCACGCTCAGTGGTGATGGGTCAAAAACAACTAGATGTGGTTTACACAATCCAGAAATAGAAATAACCCGGAAAAACTCACCATTTTCCTTCGACTTTCCCCGTCGACCGCCGTTTTGGTGCTTGCGTCCTTCCAAAAAAGTCCAAGTATTAATATGGATGACAACACATGTTAGTTAGTTTTTCACAGCCGGCTGAACAACCAAATGTGGCTTTATACTATGTAATGATGGCAAATAATTTGCCTGTTGACTCACCCTTACGCGAGGTTCTTCAGTGTAGGTAGTATAAAGCGTAGTGATCATGTCTTTATGACTGATTATACGGAAAAACTATGACAGTATCTATTGTCTGCTTGACCGACGAAGGAACATATTTATATTGGCAAGTGCAGGCAAACGTTGGTCGATACTTTGCTGGTTTGCGTGACACTTACAGTAGAGCGTGACACACCTGCTGAGACGCGACTATGGGTCAAGGCAATTTAGCGGTTAATCCAATCATGTGGGCGACATAAGCTCTGTTACCATGGGAAGTACTTTACCAAAAATTACACCTATGCGAATTGTTCAAACGACAATAAAGACTAATGCTATTTAGTTTCCATAGTCTTTTATGAATCTGTAATCGCTTCCGGCTATGTCACCTTTTGTTGAATCAAGAAAATAACTTCAACAGTTTCGTGCCGGGAAGGGGCGACACACTTGAAAAGCACTTGATTGCGTCGAGGAAACCCATTAACGATACAGGAATGTGGAAATATTGCCTCTGGTTTGAGAGCGATATGGCCATTTCAATCTCGGCTAATCATATGGCTGGTTTATTTTAAGAACCACGCAATATCCTATAATTCTCTTTTGATCAATTGTATCTTTTTAAGACTTTCAAAACCTTTAAAAGTGGACTTACTTTGATTCTTTTTCTCGCCTTTCAATCACTCGGGAACGTTCGTGGACAAATCGAAGAAATGAGGGACCTTTTTATTGCGATCGCTGTTTTTTCCAAGTCGGATACAGAACCTGATCAACTTGTCTATTGTTATGAGACAAATGAGCGCGCGCCTTTCTTTTTTTATTACGCAATAAGAAGTTCTGGTTGGTTTCTTTACCAGACCTCCACCCTAGTTCCCAGGGTTGCTCCTCTCAAGGCTTAACTCAAACATTCTTAACTCATTTACTCATATATTGCGATATGATTTTCCTAGTTTACACGAAAATCCATGTGCTCTCCTGCGAGAATTTGCACTATACAGTGCACGAGTGTCGAAGAAACCGGCTGTCTTTGAATAGAAAACGCCGCTAGCCTACATCACCTTGCCGCATCCGACTAGTAAGACTCGGTCAATAAGCAATTTACCACCCGCCTAGCGAGTCAATATCTTGCAGTGCAGGTGGCTTGTAGTTCTGGTTGGTGCTCAAGACGAACTCATGGATGAAATGAAAAAAAAGACCCCACAAAGCTTTGTGACCTGTTCAAGAGAAAACGAAAGAAAGCGAAGAGCTTTGAAAACAGTGTTAATGATGGGAGGCCGCACAGATTCGTCGTTTTCGCCAGCAGAAGATCCATTTGAAAAGTTAATCTCGAAAATGATTGAAAAAAGATAGCGCTGGAATCTAACTTATGCAAAGAGGTATAACTAGAGCTACAAAAATAGACAGAGACAAAGGAAAGTTCATCGGCCTCCAACTGAAAAGGGGTGGGCGAGCTTGAAGTCTTAACTTAGATGGGTGAGAGTGTTCATTCAACGAGAGAAAACAATTTGTGACACAAACAAGCGACCAGTGTCAGTTTGAAAATTTTTCCGTCCACCCACTTTATTACTTCGTTCCGCTTTCTGAGCAATATGTTTAAGTAGGCAGTATTGAACAGGCTAAAAGTCCATTATTCTGACTTTCTAACCACTCTAAATCTAAATAACATAAAATCTCTTATCGGTGGGTGGTTGTTTTGGTAACAAGTGCCGACCTCAAGATAAGGACCTTGTGTACACAAGACAAGCCACAAATCTGCTATATTCTGAAGTTGTTTCGCAGGGCTACTCAGCTACAACCAATGTTCAACCATCAATAAATTTCAAAGTTGATTGCAGAAGTGAAATAATTTTGATCCCAAGCTAATAATATAAAGGAGAAAATGAACGAATGGCGTGAGAAAGCAAGGTTCAGTGTGTCGCGTGATATGGACAATAAAATCATTATTGATGTTGACCTGACACAGAATATTAGGACAAGTATCAAAACAGCTTTGATCCATCATATGTTTGTTTATGTATTTTTGGCGTTCTTGTTGACTTCGGACCCCTTAAACTTCTCAGTTTCACCAATAATAATGCTGTAAACTACAAGAGGACGACCTCTGACCAACCTGAAAGTTCTATGTAACCCACGAGAAAATATGAAGAAAAATATCACCACCTCCCCCCTCCCACTCGTCTTCCTATCCAAATTATTTACGAGGCAGCTTTGTTTGATAATTAGCGATTAGCCTGTTAACACACGAGGTATAGGGGGGAAGGGGGTGTTTGAGTGTTCTTCGAGTTATTTTGTCTAAGTATGCACTGAACTACAGGAGTTTTCTCCACTTTCCTTCTCAAGGAACATGAATATATCGCGACGCTTTCACCCCCCCCCCCCCTGCACCTTTTCAGGGGTTAGGGGGTTGGCTCCTATTCTTTTCTAAGAGGGAATACTGAAGACAATCTAGAGAAGAAAGGGTGAATTTGCTATTTTCATTGATCTCAGGATTTCGATCATCAAAGCTCCATTAAATAATTGTAAAAAAAGAAAAGCTCCGAAAAATATTTGTGTCAACTGAGTTTAGTTGAATGAATGGATGAATGAATACTGTTATTTAGGTGTCAAACTGAAATAGCAGTAAGGAACCACTAAATGGGGACATAATCAATAAATTAAAATAAAGAATTTAAATAAATAACACTATTTCCAGTTGATAATGGCGAGTACGTAGTAGATAATATTATTTACATGTGCATAGACTTAATAAAATACTAAATTGTTTACTATGTATGACATGAAATACAATCAGAGCAATGAGTATCGGCCAGTGAGGAATTTAAATCAAGCTTTCTAATACGCTGCCTCAATACAGATAATGCAGATAGATTTTTAAGGCCCAGTTCAGACGCCGATCTTTTCATGAGCCGAACCTAATTCCTTGAATTAAGTACATGAAAAGATCGGCGTCTGAATCAATTTGGAACGGCTCACCCGTTCTTCCCGCCTGGCTTGGCCGAGAATTTCGCCTTTGGAACGCCATTGGAACGGCTTTGATTCAGACGTCGTACTTTTCATGTGCCGATCCTAATGCATAAACTATTATAATGTATTTCGCAAGTAATGTGACTAGTTTTACTGGAACTGTATTTGGAACGGCCAAAAATAACGGCGTCTGAATCAACAGGCGTCCTTTTTTAATTTGGGTCGGTCCAAATTCAAATCATGTTGAGTTCGGCTCTGAACCGGGCCTAAGTATTAGACCCCACAACTTTGGGCCAATGAATTTGATAGAATGCTTTCCATGTGTAGTCGTTTTAAATCTAGGCATCGCGAACTCCTTGTTTCTCAGTGAATATTTGGTGTTTGTCAGTGGAAAAGGTCTGCAATATTTTTCAGGCAAATGTTATTTTTTGTCTTGTACATAAGATCAGCTTTATCCTGTAACCGTCTCTTACCGCGTAGGTTGCATAGATTAGCGGCTGTATTCAGTAATTTACCATAACTTGATGATCTGTCGCAGCAAATGGCTCTACGTGCCCTTTCTTGTACACGTTCTAATTTTCTACTGTCGCTAGCACGACAGAGGTGCCAAACAAGGTGCGAATAAGTTAGTCAGGGAAGAATAGCAGCTTTAAATAGTTGTAGTTTGGCACCGTAGTGTATTAGTTTCCGAGTGGCATCAGGACTCCTACACGCTGCATGACTGCTTTTCTCGTAAATTAAACTTGTGTGCTCATCAAAACGAAGGTGCCTATCTATAGATATCCCAAGTAATTCCAAGCAGTCAGTAGATGTTACAGCTTCATCGTCGATGACTACTTGAGTTCCGCCTAGGCCCTTATAGATAGTGCTTTTAAAAGTAGTATATTAAGCTACGAGCATTGCCCGATTTTTTCACATTATGCTCAAAATTATGCTGGTTTTTTTCCAAATTGTGTTGAAAATTAGGCAAGCACAATCACGTAAAATCAAAGTTATGGCCCCATATCCAAGGGCCTAATTTAAGCCCTCTGCAGATCATCACAAGATAATATGGCAAGGTAATATCAACTGAGTTCTTGCGGATACTCAGTTGGCGACTGGTTGGTTGGTTGGTTGGTTGTTGGTTGGATACTCAGTCGGCGACAAGAAAATTTGGAGACGTTCCTCCTCTAAACTACGGTGAAAATAAGGAAGGTTCGCCAGTAGTCCGGGAATGCATTGTGTTATCTACTAGAAGCGTTATCTGTTTATTTTTAGGTCTTGGAGGATTAACCCTTATAAAACCCTGCACGATATGCGAGCCTACGTTTCCTTTGATGAACCTGGTAACTAAAGCGGTACCATAAATCCTTGCGAGAAGTTTAACAGGGCGCTCGTTTTAAACATTTAGGATCCTCGTGACCACAAAGTGTACCAAACTAAAATCCTTTTCAATTTAAAGGAAAAGGAATCCATAATGAATACCATAGAAAGACTGGATGTTCATCCTCGGATAATAACAGCGCTAAAAAAGAGTAAGAACCTGTGCGATTTGGAAACTCTGCTTTCTGTCTTGAGACAGATTTTGTCCATACACTTTTTCATTTCAGTAGGTCAATCATTTAGTCAGAGAGTCTGTGGATGAGTCAATCAGACGGTCAGTCAGACAGACTGTTAGACAATCAGTCAGGTAATCAATCTGTCAGACGGTCAGTCACTCAATCACCTAGTCACTAAGTCAGTTAGTCCATTGATCAGTCTGTCAGACGATCAGTCACTCAATCACTCTCACTAAATCGTCCATTGATCGGTCTGTCAGACAGTCAGTCACTCAGTCACACTGTCACTAAGTCAGTCAGTCCATTGATCAGACAATCCATCAGTTCATTGGTCAGTCTGACAAGTGTTACTTTTGTTTTGTTTTGGTTTTTTTTTTTTTTTTCACTTACAGTAGTCTGTTTTACTCTAATTTCAGCAAAGTTAACAAACAAGACCACGATTCTCTGTATGTCAGCTGCAGATCTGGAAAGAGCCACAAAGCTTTCTTCTTTTGATGTCTCTGTTCTTCTTAAAGCTGTTGCACTTTCACTCCCTTGTCCACCCATGAGAACTGCTTTGTCACTTTATAGGGATTCACAGGGACACAGATTGTCTTTAGGGTGCCAAATATTGGATGGTTTCTTGCGTGGGGGCATCCTGAGTGAAGGCATCACAGAGATTACAGGAGTAAGCTCCTCTGGTAAAACACAAGTTTGCCTCCAACTTTGCTTGTCAGTTCAGTTACCTCATGAACAAGGTGGTCTTGAAGGAGGTGTGTTTTTTTTTTGTTCATGGTTGTTAGTTCTCTTAGCTTTATAGCTCTTCATTGGATCAATGTAATATGTTTAAAATTGTTTGTGTTAAAAGCTCCAAAGGATGATCACATTGTTATTACCAGCAACTATGAAGAAGGTAATTTTCAACCCTTGATCTTTATTCTTGATGACCCTCTTTAATAATAATAATAATGATAATAATGATAATAAATAATAAATTTAATACTTATATTATAGCAAAAATTCATGATAAGAATATGATCTAAGGCACTTTACAATAAGTTAAAAAATATCTAAAAGAAACCGTAGGGAACATGATAGTTAAATTACAAAATGAAAACAAAATTATATTAACAATAAATTAAAAAGCGATAAAAAATCTATATAGTACAGAGTCTAAAATACTTCACACAATTAACAGTATGCTTGTTTAAAAAGATATGTTTTCAGTTGTTTCTTAAAAATATTTACACCACTTACAGCCCTTAGGCTTTCCGGAAGAGAGTTCCATAAAAATGGGGCAGCTACCGAAAAAGCTCTTTCCCCAGTGGCCTTGGCAGATCTAATTGCTGGGTGAGCTAATAATCTAATTACCGGGCGAGCTAATAATAATTCTGTGTACTCCACCACTCAAGTTCTCCACAATTAATCTTTAGAAAAGTTGAGGGTTAATTGTTCCTTGTATCTATGGTACCATATTTCTTCAAACAAGGGCACTGCCCATAGGTATTGTCAAACAAGCAGGTAGATAAATCATTTATTAAAAAGAAACACCTCACAGTCCGAAGACTGAATTACGTGTATAATATACAAGAAACAAAATTCATAGTTAAAATAGTTTGAAAATCTTAATAATAAAAATATACAAATCTAATAAAAACGTTTCACTTAGGATAATCTTGTGTTAAGAGAATATACATACTTAAACATATATATTTACATCCTTAGGCTATGGCTAACAACAAAAGATTTTTTAAGACGATCAGTCTTGCACACTGGCACGTTAAACTTCCTATTGCTGCGCAGCTGCCTGTGGTGCTCAGCTTTAGGTGGGAGCAGACCTGCGAGCTTGTGATTAATGTCAAGAACAATGTCATTAAAAAGATCAAACAATAGAGATGCTCTCCTGTCGTAAAGAGAGGAGATGCCTGCCTCTTTGAGCGCTCTGTTATAGCTTGCATAAGGAAAGATAATGCGCAAAGCACCCTCCTTAAATAAGTGCCCCCCTCACTTTCTAAATGGTAGGAAAAAAGAAAACCTGTTTCTATTACCACTGTACAACCTTTTAAGCTTCTGCTACAGTGGAATCAGTACTGGAGTATAAAAGCACCCCCCCTTTATTAAGCACCCTCCTTCCAATCAGCTCCCATATTTTTAACTGAAATTCAAATTAAGTGCCTATGTGTTTTTTCAAGGAAATATGGTATTATAATTTTTCATAGTTTCAATTCAAGTTTATCCATTACAGTGTCTTCTTTCATGTTAGGTGCAGTTTACATTTCAACTGAGGATGTTTTCCCCAGCAAGAGACTGCATCAGCTGATACAGAGTTTTACCAAGAGTCAAGCAGTTCATCTAGTTAGTTGTAAATGGAATCTCAGCTATAATGTTTTCATTGAACATGCAGCTGATGTGGTAAGTTCTGATGATTAGAATTTGATCTCTGATCTTTTTCTTTGTAAAAGACTTTGAATCAATGTCAATATCTAAGCAACTGCACACCTACCCCTCTCCCAACCCCTTAAACCTTAACATCAGCATGCATATTCTCCATAATGTTCTCCATACTTTTTCTAAGGTGTTGACATGGAGAATTTGTTTATAAACAATCAAGAGTATCATTTGTTGGTGATCATTTCCTTTATTCTTGTGACTGTAATGTTTGGTTCAAGGGTGATATTGTAAGGAGAATTTAGATACTAGTAATTCGAACATTAACCCTAACTTGCGATCAGCTGACTGTTGTTGAGTTAGGGGAGGGGTGGGTACACAACTGCTTAGAAACTGACGTCGATCCGTGGTTTCTTGGCATATCATTGCTTCTTGGGAGAGCAGCTTTGGTAAGAAAAGGAACCTGAAGCTTACATACACTTACAACAAGTTCAAGCTGTGACCTACTTGTTTTTAATCTAAATTTGACAGGATGACTTGCAAAACATCATAACACATCGTCTGCCACTACTGCTGCACAGAAGAGCTATTAAGCTTGTGATTATTGACTCCATTACAGCTCTTTTTCGTGTGGAGTACTCACTTGGAGAAATGTCAAAGAGGGCAAAAGTTTTAAGGTGTTTTGGTGCACAGCTTCACAAACTCAGTCATCTTTACTCTTTTCCAGTAGTGTGTGTAAACCAGGTTTGTATCTCAGCCATTTTTTTAATGTTCAGCCTCTAAATAACATATCAGTTAAAATTTAAACCCTCAGGTTTGAATGAAAATTCTTCAAACTGGAGATATATTTCGTTACCTAGTCTTGAGAATTTGGCAAATGTTGCATCCTGAGTGGATCAACAGAACATGGCAATGAAATATCCATTAAGTAATTCATATTTCAAGTCATTAATCATTTCAATTCCTTCTATTTAGGTCTCGGATGTAATTCAAACTGAGGGAAACAGGTAATCTTTATTTCGTGTCGTCTTTGCATTTTTTCTTTTGCATTCATTCATTAAATGGAAATATACCAATCAACCCAAGTTCAGCCAACAAATGGTTTTTACAGGAATAGTGCACAAAAACTTGTATTATTTGAGTACATTTGTTCTCAACAACAACTTAAATTTTAAAAAATAGAAATTTTACTTGAAAACCCTTATTCTTAAATGTGATATTTTAATGTCACCATAAATTCTTCAGATTGAGATAATGCTAAATTATTACTGCAAAGGAGAGAACTCCACATATTAAAATGTCCCTATTATCATCTGATTTTCTTTTAACTAGCTTGAGAAGTGGAAATAAAACTGTTATTCCAGCTCTTGGACTGGCTTGGTCAAGTATGGTTACCACAAGGTTGATGTTGTCACGCACAGAGCAACTGATACAATGTAACAATAGCGTAAGCCCATGGTTTTATCACAATTTGTCCCACTGTCTCAAATTTTGCACTCTATATTAGTCTCCTTTGCAGCCATTGTTTGGTGGGGAAGAGAGTGTGCTGTGTGACGAGACCAAACAATGGCTGCAAAGTAGACCGAGTCCATTAACTCTAATGAAGGTGAAATACCAGGTTATGGAGAACTGTTTTCTTAGTTTGTATTTTAACCCACAGGAAAGGAACCCTGTAATCAAGAGACAGTTACAGGTCATCTTTGCACCTCACCTCCCAAGCACATCTTGTTTCTACTATATTGATGCAGAGGGTGTGCATGGATATAAAGAAGAGTGGTGCTGAAGACATGAAGGAGTTGGATTCACAAGATTCCTAGTGAAAAAAAATTTTTACAAATCTATTCAAAGAAATTCAAGTTCTGTGGCCAAGTCAGTCCATGGAGTAAGTTCCATTTCAAGAGGTCCTCCTCAAATATAAATTGTACAAGCTAGCTTCCATGCAGGCCCCCATTATCAACACTGGCAAGACACACATTTTTCACCCCCTGGGAAGATTTGAGCCAAGACAGGAAGAAGCTTGCTGAAAGTCGGGAACTATTAATAAGTGCTAGACCCACGACAGACCTGTTGCTGGCTGATGTTGCACAATGCCTCTTATTTTACCACTGGGAAGGAAACCCTTTGCAGTAACAGCAGTAGTTTGCAAAACAAGCTTAGCTGATTTACTTTGCAGAGGAATGCTAGCTCTGTGAAGTGATTCAAAAATGTGTTTTTCTAAACCCGGTCACTCTCGCACAGGGTTGTGATTAGAAGCCACTAAGAGGTGGAAGCCCATCAGCTATCAGAACATTTTGTGCTGATTACTTTGTGACTTGTGATCAAACTGATTCTTAAATCAATGTCTGGATAAATAAAGTTACTGCAATATGTCCCAGAATGCTAAAAGTCACATCTCAAAGAGAAAATTTTGACTGGCAGTCCACATGTAATGAAGAAGCTTAAAAAAGAAATGAAAATATAGAAAAATAAAATAAACAAATGCTCTTTTACAAAGTGAAAAACAATATTAAAGTCCTTCTGATTCAAAATTTATTTGAAAATATGAATACATAAGGGTTCATTCATGAGCCTTGTTTGATGTCATCTGTTTGTTACAGATTGAATGACTGTCTAGCAGATATTCTGACTTTCTTTTTTTCGGTACAATTAAAAATAAGAGTATTTTCTCATCCAAACCAAGTTTACCTTGCTGTGATGGGTGAATTAAAGAAATGACAAAATAAGCTTGTTCAATAATGAACATTATTAACTCTTAGCAAAACATATGACAGTCACCACTGTCTAAAGTGTAATAATTTACATCATTTGTTTTTAAAAAAAAAAAATAAAAAGATGTTTTCAAAGAAAATTATGACGATTACCAGTAGATTTTTTGTGCCACTTCAGTGACACATTCCTCAGAATGGAAAGCTATTTATTCTTTTGCCATACAAATTAATGTTTTACACAGAGAAGTATGGTTAGTTCATTATTTCCTGTCTTTCACTAGTAAAGCTGTATGCTGTCCTCCAGCAGAAACCCCCAACACCTCATGAAGTTCAGACTGCAAGTTCTTCCCTTCCACTTTCACTGGTGAAAATTCATCCTCATCCTCTCCTGTACCCAGCTGAAGGCAACTTCCAAAACCCCACGAGTACAAATCCCCCTTACTTGAGACAGCCAAGCTAACAGCTTCACCACAAGCAATCTTGCAAATGGGGTTCCATTCTAATGCTGCAACTAAAACTGGAGAGGTAGTTTCCTTAGCATCTTCACCTAAACCAAGTCTTCCGTATTCTGCTCTTCCCATTGCATACACTTTGCCACTTGAGTCTAGAACAATTGTGTGGTGCTGACCACTGGCTATACTGACACACTTGTTATTGTCTGAGATTAAGGATGTAAGTGCTTCCACCTTTGTTGGAGCATAAAGAGTTTCAAGATCTCCAGTTCCCAGCTGCCCATAGTTGTTTAGTCCCCATGCATACACTGCACCATATTGAGAAACAGCAAATGTGGAGTAGCTGCCACAGAAAATGTCTTTAAATGTCAGTCTTTTCTTGTCGCGAACTTGTTTTGGGTTTAAGATGTACTGCAAACCCCTACGCCCCCCACGACTAGTAAAGCATCCCATTATTCTTCCCAACTGGCCTTGTTCTGCACAGCCCCAGGTAAAGATATTTCCATCCTTTGTCAATGCTACTGTGTGGTCATTCCCAGATGCTATTTTAATAATGGGGTTGTTCTGAAGTGTTAGGATAACAGTGGGCTTGTGTTTGACACCATCTGCCTGTAGACCAACTTGTCCACTTGCATCCTAAACATGAATTCAAATTATTATAACATATAATACTGTTATGATTTATAACAACTGAGAGAGAATGGAGGACAGAGAAAAAATCTAGTACCAACAAGTAGGATTTGTTGATTCCGCTTGAATGACTAATGGAAAGCCTTTCAAACAGGAGCGAGTTTTTCAAGACACCCCATAAGGGAAGGCCACGTGCAGTCTCCATCTGATATTAAGTAATAGATGATGTAGAGAACAGTTTTGTTACTAAAAAAAAAACCTAGAAACCAAGGGGAATCAGTAATCAATCATTCTTCCTGATGAAGCATCAAGATCCATCCAAATTTAGAAGAATTAATTTCTGATAATTACCCTGTATGTCCCCCAGCCATACACTGTTCCTTGGTCAGATAAGGCCATTGTATGACTATCCCCTGCTGACACCATGACAACATTTACACTCTCTATATCTTGCACTGGACCAGCAGTAAACTCTTCACCATTCTCACTTGAAGTAACACGGCCTAAAGCTCCCTCATCATTACAACCCCAAGTGTAAACCTGTATAAGAAAACAACTTTTGTATTGATCAGCTTTTAAACTTTCACCTCCCAAGATCTGTTCAATAATTCTCTCAATTCAAGATGACATTTCTTTGTTGATGAGCACAGAGTTTTCATTAAGAAGTATAGTTGAAAGAGAAGTGTTAATCCTTTAACTCTCACTATGGTCACTCCTTGGTGCACAGAAATCAATTCACCAAACATCAGTTAACACCCATTACACCCTAACATCACTGTGCTTATTCTAAAATCCTAAGGATGGCTGCTCAATTCTATTGGGCAGCCATGCACTTTATTTTATTTGTTTTATTACTTTTTTTTGTAATGCAAATTTAATTTAATTCAGGGGTGCAAATAAAGTTGTTGTTGTTGTTGTTTCCATTACATTTCCTTTGGCAATGACAAGGAGAATTTGTTTTACAATCAAGAGCTTCTTTGGTTGGCAATCATTTCTTTTATTCTCATAACCCTACTGTTTGATTCAGCGGTGATACTGGAAGGAGAAATTAGATGCTAGATACTCTTGGGGCTTTGAAAAGGTTAAGAGAGCGCTGTTGATAAATCATGCAACCTGACATCACCTTTCCACTGTCAGTGAGAGCTACAGTATGCATTCCTCCACATTCCACTTGAACAATTTCCAGATCATCAAGTCCTTTCACTATGGCTGGTTTCTTTCTTTCCAAGGTATCTTCACCCAGACCTAACTGCCCCACATCACCCTGCCCGAGTGTCAAGACATGCCCAACTTCCCTCTGGTCAACACTTGCAGCTTCTGTAACCAAACAGAGTAATTGCTCACTTTAAATACTACCTCTGCTCAAAAATGGATAAAATATCTAATGCTCTCTATATAAGATGGTTTAGATAAAATCAAAGCTCTGTTGTATGTTTCAGCATACAATACTGTTTCTCATTCCAAAAATACAAATATTTTAGCCATGCATGAAATTTTTATGTGTGTATAAGCTTACAAAATTCCACACAATTTGAATCCAGTTATCATATATTCCAACAGATGATATGCAGTTAGCTCTTCATGTCAGAGAAGTATCAAATTAACGAAACCAAGAACTGACAAAGGTCGATCCCAGCAACACATTATGTACTGAGTGGCGGGTTCAGTGAGAAAAGCTGACCTCGCTTGTCTTTCTTCTTGTTAACTGCATCCTTTGCGGGCTCTTCTGCCTTCCTTTTGCTTGTCTGACGTTTCCTTGCAGGCATTTTTGGTTTTTATTTCCTTTCGCTTCAACAGAGCTAAAGAAACGGAGAAACAGCTAAAGGGCTCTGATTTCCTTCTAAACAAATGTTAACTTTGAGTTCACCTCGTGCGAATAGCGGAAAATGCGCGCGCATTGAAGGCGGGAGATTTGAAAAGTCTCGTGGGAAGATGTCGGGCCTCCTTCGGGATACTTTCGGGACCTTGTCGTCAGTTTTAGTGGTTTGGACGATCTCGAGCCTAAAACTTTTCCTCACCATCAGCATTATTTCTCATTTTTTAATTTTAGGTCTGGAAACCGTCCGCAAAATACCTTCAAGAGATGCATAAATGAAAATCCTTGCTTTGCTGTTTTGTTAGAATATATGCCTATCTATTTTTCTCACCCCACGTGATTTGACTACAAATTTTGTAGCTATCTGCTTTCATCCTCAAAAATGGGTTCTCCATTATTTTCCATTTTTTCTTCGGATTTTCAAATCACCAGAAAACACCCGCCCCATCCCGGTAAGTAAATATTTTGACAACGTTACACATGCGCAAATCTACCTCCATCTGGAAGTGGTAATGAACATGGCTGCCGCGTCATGAATGAACTTCGAGAGATTAATGGTGATACTTTCTCCAATTTCATCTCGATGTGTGGGACACAAATATGTTCCATAAAGGGAGAGCCTATCCGGATATCAAGAAAACTACGCACAGATTCATAGATCCCAAAAAAGAAAGCCAAAGTCGGCTACGGGCTCTACGAACTCTGTTAGGTGCGAGTGATCTTGCAAACTGCAAACTGTTGTAAAGTAACAATACACTTTGGGATTTGCATTCATAGCGTCATTCAAATAATTTGCGTTTGTATTTTTCCTGCAGAGTACTTTGATCCGTCTGACTCAAGGATATTTTTTAGTAGCCATTATTCGGAAATATTCTACGTATTTCACGATGTATTTTCCATGGTTGAGACGAACCTCAAGACTAAAGGTCAGTATTTTTGAAAGAAATTTCACCAGACTTGCCCTTTTGCACGGATATTGGTCACAACATAACAGTGGTGTGCTTGAGAAGTTCCCATTTTAGTCCTGCTATTGGTTACGATGAAAGTTTTGTCTATTAGGTAACAGCTCGCATGCAGAGTCTAGTTGCAGACGACTATTTAGACTGTCAGTTTTTGAGATCGACTAGAATGCAGCCTTCTCGTTTTTCTGTTTATTTTTTCAGGCCACAAATCGCAAGCGGGAGACCTCGATTCGGTTCTCTTCATTTTAGAGGTACGATGGAAAGGTTTAAACACATTTGACACCACCTTAAATTTGTTGATGATAACGTTTATGTATTTAGAATCACAGCGGTGTGATATTCTAGCGATGTCAAGCGTTCAGTAAGTTTGTGTTAAAATATAAGCTTTTTTATGGTTTTCTTGCAATTGATATTAAAATGCTCACAGTTAGATTAGTTGTCATGTTGCTTGTGAAGTAATGGCTTGTTTTTATAATTATTGAACAGAGAATATTGCGCTATCTTCCTGAATTGATTCAGAAGCGATGGCAGTTCAACAGTATTGGTAATTATGCTGATTTGTTTGTAGAAATTTAACTTTGAAATCCATAATATTATATTTACAGTAGGTCTCTAAACATCAAATAAAAAATACTATCAGTCATATGTCCATTTAATCGGAAATTCCACCATGATTTAAGTAATCCTATTATTTTTTAGTTTGCACTTCCTTTAATTAGTATTGCTTTAACTCATTTTTGACAGCTTTCCTCTCATACAATTCTAGGTGATAATTAGGGTTTTTATTTTAAAAAAAATGTTTAATTCATATCCTGTCTTTGTCATGATGAGACATAAACAAAGAAACTTCCACTGTTTTGTTCCAAAATAAAGCAATGCAATTACCAAGACCAGATAATATTGTGATGCCAGCTTCTTGAGTCAATATTGTTCTGTGAACCAATTTTCTAGTTACATTCATCTCCAACCATTAACCACCTTGATGGTGTTTATCACTTGCTTGAAAGCTTGACTCTCTCAGAATTCCATCAAGCCTTTCAATAAACACCTCAAATTGATTTGGAGAAGCCTACATTTTTAACTGTAGCAATGTTAAAAGTGGACCGAGACTCCATATATCCTTCACATCTTTGGTAATGTTCATGTTACATAGTTGCTTTGGAAAGATGGGAAGAACCTATGTTCTTGCCTCGTGTGAATTATGATGATTTATTTTCTTGCCTTTAATTTCCTTATAGCACGTGTAATGCGAAAGCTTCTTCATCGTGGAAATGTCTTAAAGGTAAGATGTCGCTCTCAGGTCTGTTGAATATATCAATTACTCTTATTGCAAGGGGAAGTTGTCAGTTTAACTTTGGTTATAACTTTGGCTGTTATGAGGTTTCTAGGTCTGTGGTGTTAATTTAATTTATTCCATTTTCACTGCATTAACTAAATTCCATAAGAAAACAATTAATTACCTACTAAGACCTAAAAGACCAAAAAACAAAAACAAACAAACAAACAAACAAAAACAAACAAAAATTGTTGTGGGGAAGGACTTGTAACGATGTTAATTTATGTATGTTGAGTTAATTTATACAGTTTACCTTACATCTGAGTTCCTGGATGTATCCGTTTGCTTCGCTTGATGTGCACTCGGCTTACAAGATTAAATGTTGTGTTTAGAGTCTCTGGTGTTTCACTGTCTGTCTTAGCGAACACGTTACAGGACTAGAAGGGAAACATATGGACCATTCAAGCTTCCATTATTAAATTAACCATTAAAATTAACCATTCAAGTGTTCTTCATCTTAAAATGGTATTTGAACATTTTATTCCTTAGTGGTATCCTCACCGTTGCCCCTTGCCCTTTTCCCTTGCCCCTTGCCCTTTTCCCTTGCCCCTTGCCCCTTGCCCCTTGCCCCTTGCCCCTTGCCCCTTGCCCCTTAATCCTTCTCCTAAACACTTCCTCCTCCTGCAAGAATGCTACAGTATTATCATCCATAATCTGGCATCCCATCCAGGGGTAGTAGACAGGGCTGAATAATGAAATGCTATGTCAGAAGGTATGAGGTCATCAATGTGGGCTCAAGTGGTCTAGGTCTAAAATAATTTAGCAAAATAAGCAGAAAATATCAAGGGCTTACATTTAAAACCGAGGAACTTTGTTTTCATCAAAGGCATTTTCCTATATCCAGAGGTTTTACGAGAAAATTAATTTTCAAAACGTTATAGGTGTACCAAGTTTTTAGAGGTTGTTTTGTACAAGAAAAGTGGCAAAGAAAATAATGCCTCGAGGTAACAGAAGAGGAAATCAACCTTGCAAACTACTCAAAAATCTGTTTTCCACGGCAAAACCTAGTGCATGCACACACATTATTCAGCTCTGTCGTGATAGTAGACATACTCTTAGTTGCTTCGTGCTGTGGAAACTAAGATAGATAGAAGCTTAGGCTGAATGAGCCACCTGGTTTAAGTACTGACTTAACCTTTTAAAGTACTTGTCTCCACTTTGTCAACAATAGCTACGGCGAGAGGGTGTTCGTCTGTTCATGCTGTGGTTCCAAGCATTACAGGACAACTCAGACGAGTTGTGTCAGCTTATCTATGCATGTTTGATTCCTGGTTTTCCAAATCCTGTTAATGGTCTTGACTGGAGTAAGAACAAGCTGTCCAAAGCTTGTGCTGAAGAAATATATCTGTCAATCGGTGACTTGGCATCCAGGGATCTGCTTGCTTCAACCCGCAACATGCATTTGTTTTCTTCTGATGGAGAGAGAGAAGGTTAGTGAAAGAATTGTTTTATTGACATATAGGTTATAGTCAAAGACTTATACTCTTTGGTTACACAGGAATACGTTTTGGATAATTGTTTAACGCTTTTTTTGCTGTGAGCCATACTCATGTAGAGTTTTTGAAAACCCCTAATTTCAATATCCTTGTTAAAGGTTTGGTTTGATAAATTTGTTCCTAAGAGCATCAGATGCTATGAATGATTTAATTATTGCTGATTCCTCCATCAATAGCCTGTGTTCTCTATTGTCCTTTGTGCACTGCTGCATGGACCATAAATAGATTTTTGCATTAAGCATATGGTGGGATTCCTATGAATAGAAGATGTATCATGTATAAAAATTTAGCACTGTTGATGTTTATATATATTTAATTGTATTAGGATAAAAGTGTAAGCTCAAAAGTAGCTGCCCAACCTATAACTTTGTTTCATCTCTGTTTTTCAAGAGTGGTGTTTCCCAGATGAGGTAGGACCAATTCTTCCAGCAAATCCAAGTGAAAGGATGCCTTCCCCAGAAACACTGACAAAGTTCTTCCTGGACAGAGTGTTGGACTGTATGAGTACTCAGGTACATTTTGAGGTCTTTCTTAATATTGCATTGGGCATCAGTGCTGTAGTTCATTTCATTTATGATTGTGGTTGTTCATGTGTGTTTGTTGTTTATGTGATTTTTGTTTGTTTTCTTTTTAGCTTGTCCAGATTGAGTGGACTGACAAAAGAAGCAGGGAGCATGCATTCTATTTCTTGTTTGAAAACTTCAAAAGATTCTATCTGCCGCACATTTTTCAGGACTGGAATCCATCAAGATTGCTCTATCAATCCAATCCTGGTTAGAAGATAGTACATTCACTTTCAGCAGTTCTTATTTTATAGTGAAACTGCCCTACAGTAGAACTTCAATCAAACAAACCTCTATATAACAAAGTCCTCAGTATAATAAATGATACTTTTCAGCCTGGCTAAAGTTACTGTAAAATGTATGCAACAGAACCTCGATATAACAAACCTTGATATCATGAAATCCTCGTCATAATGAACACAATCCAGGAGCCCAACATATACAGATGCCCTGATATAGTGAATAAATGTTAACCTGTTACCAAAGACAAGTGCAAAACAGACCAACAGTGCAGTACTATATGGTAGTGTTCTGTTGTTTAATACTGTACACACTGTTCATGTTCATTATGACATTTGACAAGTCAGGCACAAAAGAAGTGCAATTTCCACACTCCTTCTCTTGAATGAAAGATGCATTTTAACAAAAGACAAAATATGAGGCAATTAGAAAAATTGTTTGATTTAGCATCTTGATTAACAATTTTAGTGGTAAAGTAAAGTGGTTTTGTTAGTTTAAGTTTTCTGTTCAGTTGCACTATTCATCATGACATTTGACAAGCCAGTTGCAATTGTTAAAATTTTGTTGACCCGTTTAGTTTCTGGTGCCTGAGCTATGTACAGACCGGTACAGTGTACTGTAGCTTTCTATGGACATTAAGCACAACATCATACCACACACAAAAAAAACAACAGCAACAATTATCAACCCTACCTCATTATAAGGAACATTTTGGTTGTTTTTCAGCAAATTTGTCGAGGATTTTGGTATAACAAACCCTCAATATAACATATCAATTTCCCCAGTCCCTTGGCACTTTGTTAAATTGAGGTTCCACTGTATCTACAATTACCAACCAATCAGTTGACTGATTTGATTGATTGATTGAGTAATTGAATGACAATTAATTGACTGGCTCACCAATCAGCTGACTAACTGTCTTGTTTTACAGAAGATGCCTAAACGGGTATCCATTATGCTACACTCTACCTCTATCTTCATACAAGGGCATTCATTAATTTTTCCTTACTCTGTTTAGCTGCACAAGTTCCTCACAGTAGACCTAAGAACAGTGAGTCTGAAATGTTGATGACCAGTGCAAGGGACTCAGTTTTACGCTGGTTTGTGGCCTTCACGGTCAGATTCAAGAGAACTGACAGCACCTCAGAATCATTATTAGCTGTCAATCAATCAGTTGTGTCGATAACATCATCAGAGAGTAGTGAGCTAGGCTCCCCTGATTCAGTCAAATTCAGTCCCACACTTAACAGAGAATACTTACCGGATGCTAGTGAGGTGATCAGAAAGGTTTTATACTCCACCAAGGCAAACATCCGGCTTCTTCATGAGGTCTTGCGTCAGGTATATTAAATAACTCAATCATTAATGAAACCAGTTCCAGCTGTAGATGCATAGCACATACATTGTAACCCTTTGATCCCTTCGAGAGACAGGAATCTAATTTCTCCCGAGTCACACATTAAGGTCAGGAGAACCAAGGAAATGAACACCAACTGAAAAAGGTCTTTACTTCTTTACTGTTGAGCAGTTTCTAGAGAGTATGCATGCTGATGTTAAGAGTGTAAAGGGTTAAACAATCTTATTGATTTTTCTCTATGATTTCTCCAGGCTTTTTGTCTTCCAGCCAAGCATTTAAGCACCATCAGGCAGGTCCTGCTTGTGTATCATGAGTGGCTTAAGGTAAGTTGACTAGCATCTAATTTCTTCTTACAATAGCACCACTGAATCATGTATCAAAGTCATAAAAATAAAGTAAATGATAACAAAAATAATGGAAATGATCACCAATGAAAGAAGCTCTTGATTGTAGAACAAATTCTCCTTGTCATCTCCTTAGTAAATGTATAGAGAAGAGTATGGAGAATATACATAATGATATTAGAGGATAAAGGGATAATATTCAACCATTTTTTGAAGTAGTTTTCTCTAAATTTAGTTCTTTCTTTCTCATCTTTTCTACCTGTCTAGACAAATATTTATTCAGTCCTGTAGGTTAAATCCTGGAAGAAAATGTTTCACCTCTGTTAAATCTTAACAATGATGTCTAGCATATACCTCATGGCACCCACCCTGCCAGACTTAGGTTTCTGTTACCCATCACAGGTTATTCCCCAGAACTGCATCAAGTTTTTCCAACAACTATTTGATATATTTGCTGATGCACTGTTTGACAGTATGCTCCCAAGAAAAAAAAAGAGTTGAACAACTTAGAGTACATCATGTCTCACCCAAGAGCACAAAAAATTTACCCACCTTGGGATCAAGCACAGGCATTTTAATCTAGAGAAGTGCACATATCCAATTATACCATCATGCCACTGATGTCCACCTAATACATTTTTTACTTTTAGAATCCTGAAAGACCTACCTTCATGCTAGAACCCGATCAGGAAGTATTTCCTTCTTTGACTGTCAAGGATGCCAATTACAGTCCACAAAGTCCCATTAGAACATTTTCGTATTCTTATGCTGTAGATAAAGAAAGAGAGAGAGCATTCAGACTTCCTTGTGAAGATGTAAGAGCTGGTCTTCAGGCAAATCTAAGGCTTTTTATTCTACATGCAGCTGCAGTGTTCCTTGTTGAGGATGATGTGGATTATTTGGATAAACAGGTTAGCCAGACTCTTTTACACATCTGTGGTAACTAACTTTGTTTGTAAATGTTTGCCCAGCAAGCTTGCAAGAGCTCAGGGTTGGTGGCCAAGCAAACACAAGGTTAGGAGGTTTTGTTTTAAAGGCTTCTATAACCATCTAGATTTTTGTATACTTTTGTTTTAGGTTGATGTTTGCAAACGAGTGGTCCATCTCTATCGAAGCATTGTTCTAGAAGTTCCAATGGAACCAACCACTTGGTATTGATTTGATTAATGATTTCTTGTACTCATTCATCAGCTGTTGAAATTGTTCTGCTAAAATGACAGTCATTCCACTTCATATCTTTTTCCTTTACAACATTTTTTTGTTTTCAACAGGGAACAGATGTTAGAAGCTCTACTTGAAGCTTCAAGACATCTCCTGGTGCCTGAGAAGTCCCAGAACAAAGCTAGCATAATAGCTACACAAGTAGCTGGAAGTTTACTTCAGGTTTGTTTACTTGTAAGAGTATGATCGCACTTGCCATCAGAAATGTTAAAGGTTTAAGATTTTTCTTTAATTTAGTTTTTTTTTATATTTGTGATGATGATAATGATGATGGCGGGTTCCTCAGGAGCGAGGATCAGTGGGAAGGACATCCCTGTCACCATGCCCTCTGGTGATTGTGCAAGCCAATCCTTAATCTCCCAGTCTGCTACACCATGAGCATGGGAATCTTTGGGCAGGGGTCTCAGGGCAGCTGATGCCTTTCTTCTCCTCCATTCCTCCTCCACAGCATCTTTTCTGGCCTTAAAGGCTGCAGCACCTCACCTTGACAGAGCTCTCCAGCTATCCCAGTCCTCTGTGTTTCTTTTGCACTCCTTTTCTGGGTTCCCAGCTGCACTTAGCTGCCACCTCAGCCAGTCTTTGAAGCGCTTTGGTGGGGTTCCCTTATTATGCTTGCCATGGCACAATTCTTCTTAGAACAAGGCATTGGGCATCCAGCTATCTTCCATGAAACAGAGAAAAATGTAGATACTAATGTTAAGGTGTAAAGGGTTGAACACTTAATCATTATTTTCCTAATTTTTTTGCGCTCAACAGACTTTATTTGTAACTTGGATTCGAGCCAATCTTAAAGTGAAAATTCCCATTTCCTTATGGGACAAGTGTTTAGAAGTTGTTTCATCTGCAACTCACTGGGAGGAGTTAATATCTGAATGGAGTGTAAGTATTCAAACCACAAATTTTTTTAGATACTGATTTTGATCCTGGTTGTTTTTTGTGTGTAATTTTTTTTAAAATTATGATTACTATCTTATTGTGTCTCTCTTCAACATACCAACTCTGCACGTAAAGGCAAATGTATGTCGCAAGCAATCAGTATCATAGCTGCCATCTGACAAAGGTTTAGAAATTGTATCAAACTCCTTTTATCATGGTGAATTGAGCATGTCATTTAATCTTCCAAAAGCATCGTGCATTTTTCTTTAGAGGTGTACAATTAATGTATAAGGTATTTTCAAAGATTGGTGTACCTCTCCAAAGTACACATGTCATTTAAAACAGTAATTAATATATTGGTGTGGTGTTTATCCAGGTGACAATGGAAACTTTAACCAGAGTGATGGCAAGAACAGTCTATGGCTTGGACATGGCAGATCTTCCTCTTGAAAGACTCACTGAGCAGAAACGTAAAAGACGACCACACCTACAACAGGATAGGCTTCAGTTTACCAAGTCATCTTTCTCAAGGTGGAGTCGATTGGAAAAGTCCAGTGGTCCTAAGCAAATTATGCCCCAAGATGATAAAACTATTCATAATGAAAGGTCTGAACCATCCAAATCACCAAATCCGCTAAGACCTTTACCAGGTCAAGAAGGTGGTCAAGTTTCGTCAGGTAGCTCTCCTAAACATCCAGAGGTTAAGGTGTTTCCAACAGTAAACAGTGCTTTCTTTCCCTCAAGTACCAGGGAGGATAAAGTGTCTCCTATCAGAAATGCTGCTTCTTTTCCTGTTTTTACTCCAGGTTAGTTCCCAGACTTAACTGTGGGTAATACTGCTGTCTGTGCATATGTGTGGCAAATCAACAATAAAAACAGTGCAAAGAATAAACATTGAGTGAGGATAGAGTCAAATATTCGGAAATTTCAAGAATAATAAATGATTGTGGAGTCCTCCCCTGCAAAAGTTGTACTAGAAGATATTTTGGGTATTTTTCTGACCATTTGTTTGTCAAAATGCATGGAAACTACTCAAATTGTTACATTAAACCATAAACACGAGGAGGGTGATCATCACAATAATGAACAATACTTAAGCAGCAGCGGAAATAAAGCCTGAAAAAAAAAAGTATCTTTGCCATTACTCAGAGCTGGTGCAAGCCTGTTACATGACTTGTGTAAACAGTCCTTAAAATAAATATTCCCAATATTTTTACTGTTGTTGGTAGGTACAGTAACAGGAAAAGAAACTGAAGCTGCTGGCCAGCTTCAGCCTTCAAAAGGTGGCAAAAGAGAAAGCAAAGAAAGGTCTACTGAGGAACCCAAAGCGGGCTTCTCTCTTGCAAGTGATACAGACAGCGTGGAAAGCCTTGACATGCCATCCCCAGCTGATCAGGAGGCTGGTGCCCTGCCCAATGAGGATTCTGAAAATCTGCTGGAGGCTACTGATGGAAGATTTAGGCAACGGTTGAATCGTTTAAGTAGTAGTGACAGCTACTTGTCAAGCCAAGACAATATAAAATCCATGGCGTGGTATGGCAGTAGTCTTGACTTTGACGCGAGTCCATGTTCCAAGTATGCACCTGGCTCTGAATCACCTAAGATGCTGGGAAAGATCGATGAATCAAATCTAGAGTCGAAGTTAGAGGACTTGCAACTAAGTCAGCATCAAGCAGTGCACAGGACATCCACTCCTTCCCGTAATGTAAGACTGGGTGAGGGTGAGGTGGGTGTCCTGCCGCCTCTGAAGACAGTCAAGGAGGAGTTCAACCATGATACTGAGGGCAGGTCCTCTGCAGAATCATCTGGAAGGGGTTTGTATCTTAATCAATCTTCTTTGAACCCTTTAACTCCCAGAGGTGATCAACATGTAACTTCTCCCTATGATATCTATACATTATCCAGCAAACAGGTAATGAGAATACTCAAAGTTATCAGGTAGAAGTTGTTACCTGATGATTGAAGACCAAATTCTCGTAGCTAATGTGCAAGGAAATGTGTAGCAGCTAGAGGGGAGAAGTAACACTCAGATCTTGGGAGTTGAAGGGTTAACATTTTCTTTTCTGGGAGATTTATGCTCCTGAAACGATATATTTGTAGTAGATGTCAATTCTTTTCACGGATCGCGTTTTGACTTTCTTAAGAGTGACTGCGCTAAAAATTCGACTTGAGGACGCTGCCACAACGGACTCTTCACTGAAAGCAGCTTTTTCTGGTTGCATGAACACATTAACATTGTAGTTAATTCTCGCATTTATCGGTATTTTTTAGCAACTCCTGACATTCTTGCACCAGGCTCTCGCAGCCCCTCCCCTGAGCCCCACTTGGAAGATTCACACGAAGATGAGGGGCTTCTTGATGACGACTTTGGTGGAGACGACTCTCACGAGGAAGACACCAGTGTGGTGGCGGGAGGGTACAGAGAAGGTTGGGGTCCTGTGGCAGCTGTTGTCCTGTGGCGCAGAATGCTGGGAATTCTGGGCAATGTGAATAAAATAAAAAACCCCACAATCCATGCTAAAGTGTTTAAATGTCTTACAGCTATCTGGAATATGTTGGCAAAGGTAAATCAAGTTTTTACTCAAGCCCCGGCCCCCTGCACGTATGAACCACGCGATAAATACGAAGTTGGGGGTTGTCATACAAACGTTTGTTGTTAATGTGATTTGTTTCATTGTCATGGCTCGTATTCCTTCACCAAATGAGTTCACATGTGCAGTGGAATCTTCTTCTGTGCACAAAACTATACAGAAAAAATTTCAAAATAAGTTTTATGCAAACCCACTTCTTTCTTAATTTAATATGTTGTGATTAATTATATTTGCGTCAATTCGCTTCATTTTGCTCTAGATCCGATTAAATCAGGGCATTTCATTGGATAACAAGTCAACTCCAACCATTCCCGTGTTGCTTCCACCTTTGCAGCACATGGCCACATGGGTTTTTGAGGTCTGTATTTTACATGTATTTTGTATATTAATAAATGAAATAGCAAAGCAACAAGTTGCTCTTAAGCATTTCTTAGCGTTGTTTGGTTGCCTGTTTTCTCAAGTTTCTTATTTGATTTGTATATTACCGGAAAGAGATAGGCGTAGTTCTTTTGGGTTGATTTCTTTTTGAGATCATCGGCATTTTTACTGTCAATGGGGGTTATAAAGACGCAGAACGAAAAGTGTGAACGTTGATTTTGGTGGATGAAAAGATCAATCATCCGTCGTGACGTAGATTTAATACTAGCGCAAAATTAACAGAATTAACCCCAGTCCACCCCCTAAGAGTGACTAGCATCTTATTTCCCCATACAGTATCACCCCCCGATCACACATAAATATCACAAGAATAAAGGAAATTTTCACCACCCAAAGAAGCTCTTGATTGTTAAACAAATTCTCCTTGTCAGCACCTTAGGAAGCGTATAGAGAACAGTTTTGAGAATATGCACACTGATGCTCAGGTGTAAAGGATTAATGGCCAGTTCTCGACAATTCATGGTATCGTGGTCAAATTCGGTTTGTTGATTATTAGAGAAAAACGACAATTTTTGTAGCAGAACTCTCTTATGTAACCCTCAGCAAATGTGACGTGTTATCAACGTATTCGTTGTTTTTATTTTGTTTTTTCAGGCCGCTTCACTTTCCATTAACAATGAATTTAAAAGTGGCCGTCTTCTCGCCTACAAACTGATGTGCGCCATGACTGTGAGCCGTCAAGATTTGCCGCTGTCACAGGAGTACTTAACACACTTCTACCGCCTTATGCACATTGGACTCACAGGAACTGATCAGGTGAGATTTCAGAAGAAGTAGGATGGACTCAAATATTCGCGCGAGCGTTAGATAGGGATAAATCTTCGCCCTCTCTAAGGATTTAAACTCAGCTAGGCTCCATTTCATGCCTTTAAAAGCACACACAACCCACAATTCCTCTTTTCGCTCCGACGAAGGGCTAACGCTCGAAACGTCAGCTTTTATAATCGCTACGGTGGCCAATTTACTATATCAACTTTGTTGATATATCCAAATTATTTCGTTGCCCCCACCGACGCAGCCCCAAACAGTTTCTTTCGAAACTATCAGCCTTTATCCATTTCATGCAATTTCCAAAGCGTCCCTTTGTAATAAATGAAACAAAAAAAGGATAGTGAGGTTAAAGCACGGTCAGGTCGAACGAGGAAAGTTATTAAGAACATTCCTGTACTCTGACACTTGGTAATTTGTGATTTTCGTTGTGATTTTTAGGATGTCACCAGTGCCATTGTTAGCAGCTGTGCAAATTTTTTCTCTGTGATGTTACCCAGTTCCAGTCTTTTGATTCTTGACTTCATTCAGGCTGCTAATGGCGTCGTTACCAGCCAGAACATGGAGGTAAATAAAACAATCCATCTCAATTCCACGCTCAGAAAAATTCTCATCGTCAAGATTTCCACTAGTGCTCTGGTTTGGTCTTGAAGCAAAGCGGCTGTGAATTGAATGGAAATGCTGTGCTCGTGCTTCGATAATAATTTCATTTATGTTTTTCTTTTACAGTTACCAAGAGAAGAAGCAGTAACTGTTATTGGATCGTTGTTGTGTTTTCCAAACAATGTTGCGAATATGCCCCTTCATCAGCCTGGACATCAGACCAATGAATATCAGCCAAAGAGTACATGTAAAGACGTCAAGGTCTGTACACCCTGAAAAGATTTCTTCTATCGTAAAACCGATGGAACTTAACCCTCTGACCGCCAAGAGTGTCTAGTATCTAATTTCCCCTTAATATATCACCGCTGAATCACACATTAAGGTCACAAGAATAAAGAAAATGATCACCAACTAAACAAGCTCTCGATTGTTAAACAAATTCTCCTTGTCAGCACCTTAAGAAATGTATAGAGAACAGTATGGAGAATATGCATACTGATATTAGGATGGTAAGGTTTAAGCCTGTTGTAGCAGAAGAAAAACTTTAATTTTGTTTTCTTTCATTTCAGGATAAACTTATCAGCTCTTTATTACGAGCGTCTAAGTTAGATCCGTCATGTTCTGCAAGGTAAACAAAGCAGTCAGTTCTACTTCTGACTCCACAACACATGTCTTTATCCCGCTGACGCTGCGAGCTCTTGATGTTAATATTTGAATTATTTTCAGATGTATCGCGCTTAATGCCCTTGGTGTATTCATAGCTGAGGAGCTGATTCATTGCCAAGGACATCCTAAAGTTCATGAATGCCTTTGTGTGCTCTTAGCTTCTATAACTGTGAGTAGAGATTAGTCTTTCTGTATAGTTTACACGTGTGTTCACGTGTAGCGTGTTAAAAAGTTTCCATTTGTGGCCTATAGAGTTAACTTAGGCGAGTACGAAAAATAAATCCAGTAAAAAGATGAGGCTGGGCCAGGTCATATGAGCCGTCAATAAACCCCAAATTGTCGCGTCTGC